TACCAACGAAATACTAAGGGATGACTTTGTGCTCTAAGTAAAATGTACAATATATGAACGCTGATGAATTCTTTGTTTTCTAATCGTTTTGTAAGCTCACTCAACAGACTATTTTCAGGTTCCTCCGGCTGAGCTTGAAGCCTTGCTGTTGGGTCATGCAGATGTCCAGGATGTGGCTGTGTTGGGAGTACCCGACCTAGAATGTGGAGAGTTACCCAAAGCTTTTGTTGTCAAGAAACCAGGGTCAAAGGTCAACGAACAGGAACTTGTTAAATACGTTGAAGGTAAATAATTAAACTACATCGTGAATCTTATTGTGAATGAATGATGTTCCCACATCAAATATAGCATAGAAGCAAACTAGCCATCACAAAGACATTCTGAATGTTTTTTAAGAACGCATGTAAGGTTTCCATTCTTGCTTTATAATTGTTTACCTGTCTTTATTAGTTGATATTCAGGAAAACAATTAAAAAGCCGTCATATAAACGTCATTTAGTAAAAACAAAAATGAACAGAAAAACAATTTAGAGTCGATATACGGCGGCAGTAACATTAAATCTCTGTACAAGTGTACTAACAATCTACAATTGTTTCTTCACTGATTCTCAGCAAAGACATTTAATGGACTACAATTTTTTAGCTGTTTATGAGAAAGATTTTATTATTATTCAAATGCGTGGAACGATGACCTTCAAATTACACCTTGAAAAGGTAACAAAACAAGGACCTACCAGGATAAAATTTGACCTGGAAGACCTCTCAAGTAGCTGCCATATTCGAGGCACAAGTAGGAGGACACTTTGCAGCCCTCAATATCTTGGACTCCAATGACCAGGATATCGACACACAAGTCAATATGCTAAACACAGCAGTCACAGACACAGCCCTGCAAATACTAGGGAAGCTCCGCCTGCCCAAAAAAACCCTGGGTAACTGAGGATATACTCCAACTCTGTGACAAGCGACGGGAGCTTAAAGGGAAAAAGTTGTCCGACCCTAAATATGTCCACGAATACAAAAGCGTCAACAAACGGATTAAAGAGGGAATCAAAGAAGCGAAGAAAAAGTGGATAGAGAAGAAGTGTCAAGAAATTGAACAGGGACTTAACAGGACTGACAGTATAAAAGCGTAGCAACTAGTGAAGGACCTCACTACCTCAAAGCATAGAAGAACCAACACATTACATGACAAAAACAATAAATGCTTAACCGAGGACAAAGATGTGTTGAAAAGATGGACGGAATACTGTTCAGAGTTGTATAACTTTGAAATCTCAGGAGATACAGAGATACTCAATGTCCCGACAGTATCCAACATAGACGACTATCCGATTCTTCGATCGGAAGTAGCTTCAGCAGTAAAAGCCCTGAAAAGGGAAAATCGGTCGGAGTTGACAACATTCCTGGTGAACTTCTACAGGCGGGAGGAGAAACCATGATAAACGCACTCTATACGATTAGCAATACGATATGAAAATCAGGAGAATGGCCCAAACCCAATCATTCATCATCACCCTTCCACAGAAAGGCAATTTACAACTCTGTCAAAACTATTGCACCATCAGCCTTATAAGCCATCCCTGCAAAGTACTGTCAAAAATTATATTAAATCGACTAAAACCGATAGCAGTCAAAATCATATCTGAAGAACAACCTATTTTTAGACAAGGTCGCAGCACAACTGAACAAATCCTAAACCTCAGAATACTCTGAAAAATATCTCCAACACCAAGAGAATTTTTTCCATGTCTTTATTGATTTCAAGAAAGCTTTCGATCGAGTATGGCACGGGGCACTCTGGGCGACAATGGAAAAGTACAACATAAATAAAAATATATTTAAAGTTATACAGAACCTCTACAAGGATGCCATCAGTGCGGTATACTTCAACAATAATATTGGGGACTGGTTCAAAACCACAGTTGGAGTAAGACAAGGCTGCCTACTGTCACCAACACTCTTCAATATCTTCCTTGAAAAGATAATGGAAGATGCTCTCGAGGGCTGTGAAGGTACTTTAAGCATTGGAGGAAGAAGAATTACTAACTTGTGTTTAACAGATGTCATTGATGGCCTAGCAGGGACAGAAGAAGAACTAGCTGACCTAGTGATGCGCATTGACTAGACTTCCGCAACATATGGTATGCAAAATCAATGCCGCAAAAACCCAAATCATGACCAATAGCCAACAGGGCTTTAAAAAGGGGCATCATTATTGGAGGTGAAAAGCTGACTAGTGTTAGCTTAAAAGAATGGACGGGCCTGCCATTGAAAGAGGTTCTAAACAAGGCAAAAGGCAGGGAGGAATGGAGAAAGACGGTCGACGAGTCTTGCTTGGTGCCCCAACGGTCCACCAGACTAAGGGATTGGTTAATGTAAAGTGGAAAATAAAAAGCAGCTTAATTGAACTATTTGAAAGTTAGAGTGCACATACTGGGTCAAAGAAAAAGGATAATTATAGTTACGAAAAGAAAATATTTGATTGGTATATCTTTATGCACAAATCTTTTACCCTAATTAATAACAATCTTATATGTTTTATAGATCGAGTCTCGCCCACAAAAAGATTGCGAGGGGGCGTACAGTTTATTGAGGAAATCCCAAAGTCTGCTAGTGGAAAGATACTTCGAAGGGTCATAAGAGAGAAATATCTTTAAAAGAGAACAGCGAACAAGTTTTGTACTTCTTGGTGGCGCTTCTGTTGTTGCTGTAGCCGTTGACGAGCGCTTGGCATTATTTTTTTAAGATGGCTGATGTGAGGATGTTCTTGGATTTGCAGAAGTCAAAGCGGTTATTAAATACTCATACAGTACTGTTGAATTAGGGTGTCAGGAATGTCCCTACAAAGTTAAAGCAAAAATCCGTATGTTAATATAGGTGCTGAAAAAAAAAGAAAGATACAGTTGTATTAAACATAAATGGAAAGCAGCACCAGGGACAATGTCTTTAGAGGAGAGAAAGTAGTGAATTAAATCCGACAGAAATATAGCCTTTGTTGCATTTGCGTATGGTCGGATGACTCTGTACTAGAAGACTTTTTTATTAGAACATACCTATGGTCTCGAGGGTTATTTCGCTTTGCAGTGCATTACTGCTAGGCTATGTTGTTTTCAGGGTCACTAGTTCGACCCTCGGTCGACGCAGTCCCTTATTTTCGTCGCATTTAATTCATTTAATGTATGTGAAGTTAAAGCGAGTACGATTAATGGTTGAACAGAAATATAGAAGTATGTTTGTTCCTAGTTTAGCATTAGCTACTCTATATCTCAACGTAAGAACTATTTAACAATGGAGTTAAGTGGGTCAATCTTATTAGAAGTGTGCAATGCAAACAGTGATAAGACAGCTTTGGTACTTCTTATCAAAGACACATTACAACACATCACAGCTGTGTAACAAACTAATAAATTATTAGATCCGGAATCAGCTTGTTTATTCGCGTAACCATTAGCACTAAAATGGCAGAACCACACACTATAAAATTGCGATTCTCAAACTGTGCAACGCGCTACACTACGGACAGACGAACTTTTTTTTTACCATACCTCTATTCAGTTTGTAACTTCGTGGAAACTTCAGAAACCTAACATCTGATCCTCAAAAACGACTGTAACGATTTTCCTTGAAATGTAGAAGTTGATGTATATCGCTGAGAAAAGAATGACTATCTCGTTGGCCACACTACTGTAGTTTGAACGTAATAATTGTTCAAAGTATGAAAAGAAATAAATTTAAATTAGGCTAGAACTCACAAACTACACTTCTTCGTCTGTTTCCGAATGCAGGCCAAATTCATTCAAGAGTTTAATAAATTAATGTTTGGGACATTTTGCGCAGCGTCTTATAAGTCTAGATCTAAAGGCCAATCCTTGGAATAGTATTAAGCCTAGTACATTTATACATTCATTTAACCAGGATTTTTTTTTCTCAGGTGTGTGTGTGGGGGGTTGGAATTGTGTTTTAATTCATTAGTTATTAAGAGAAAAACATTCGCTCTATAAGTTGTATACAGGAAGTATTTCCTTTTTTTTTTTTTTTTTTTTTATTTGCATTGACTTTCTAAATCCAAATTTGCGACCTATGATTAATATTCAAAAATTAATGTAGTAGGCCTACTTTTCATACTTTTTTTTTCTGCTAGAAGCGAGTACAACAATATCGATTCAAAACTTTTTTTTTTCAAATACAATTTTAAATATATTCGATAATGCGATTTTAACGTCTTTCCTACTTCAAAACAGTTTCTCCCGAGTGGTTCCTCTATTACAGAGGTTATCAAACGTTTTGAATTCAGGGAACCCTTTACAAGCCACACGATATTAGCGGGCCCCCGACACAGCCTAAAGCTGCTGGTGTAATCAAACTTTCCGCAACGCGTGTGCTTTTTTTTTTTTTCTTTGCTCTGCGCTCTTTGCAATGGAATAATATAGAAAGCCTTAAGAGCTTTTTCATTTACTGTTGTCGGAGTGCTAATCATTTTCTGATGATTTACATTCGGTTTCGTGTTACGTTTGATGAAATCAAAGGGTTTGCCTTTTATTTCAATCTGATTTGTTAGCAGATGTCGATTTAGTTTAGCCCAATTCAAATTTTCGTTGATAACACATTCAAACAAATGACACATTGTGGCTGATCATTTAAATTAAATTATAGCTTTCATGCTTATAGCATGCTCAGAGTGCTATGGTCTCATTTGTGGACCAGTGGGAAAGGTTTTTCGTGCTGCCTTTATGCGCTCAGTAAACAGAACTCTGCTCGAGTCGGGTGTCGAACCTCGATCCCCATTCTTAATAGTCAAGCTAAGTTCCAGCCTCTCGACCACGCCTCGACCACGTTGCGATCCGACTTGTAAATATTCAGGAGCTTGTTCACCAAATTTTTAATGCATCATGTCTCAGTTCATTGCCACTATTCCACTTACAGTCCTGCACCTCCATCAATGCCTAATTACACTTCAAATAATATGTTGGTGTGTCGTGGAGTCTCAGGGTCGTCGGTAGGAAACTTTAAAACGAAGCCTGGCCTTCTTTTGTGAATAGCATAATAAAGCAGAAATTGAAAGGCCGATGTTGATTGGTTTCTAAAATAAGTAAATTCGTGCGTAAAATAAATTTTCAAATATATCACTGGACTATTAGCAATCATTGTTGTTTGGCCAAGCTTCGTCAACAATGACGTAATAAACATATTTAACAGTAGTGAGTGGACAGTTTATTTGTCTTCAAATTATCCGATCTAATTATTTTGTAATTACATGTATTACGGTTATGTTTCTGATTTTCCTTTTTTTTTTTACAATGCCCCAATATGTTTTCATAACCTCATTTATGTTTTGCTTCATTTATATGCATACTGCATAATTTTGTATATAAATAATGCTATTAAATGCTGCCAATTGTTAAGTTTATGCAGCAAAAATGCTGATGTCTATTTAATGATACTACATCCTAATTAGTCCCTCTTTTGTTGCCGGCAACTATTACGTAAAAGACAATTAATTAAGCAGAACTGTAAAACGTTTGTTTGTTTTTTGTGTTTTTATGTATTCATTTTCTTGGGGTTTTTAGTTGGTGTGTAGCCCAAAACTTATCGTTGGCAAATAGTAATTATTTGTTTCGTACATAGATAATTGAGGCGATCAAAGTTTTTGTTTTATAGTAATGACTTAATAACAAAGTTGCACACTTTTCATTGTGCATCGCCTACATGGACGTAGTAAGACGTGGAAGCTTCTGGAAGTTATATCCTCCGTAGACCTGAGTCTGTCCATCTCCTCCTTAGACCTGAGTCTGTCCATCTCCATTGTCTATCTCGTTTGAAGCAACAGTAACCAAAAGGCAACTATATTGATATGTGATGTCCACGAAAGATATGTCTAAGACAGGGGTGGGTAACCTTTTTCTATCGAGGGCCGCATTTTAAAAAATAGGAATGGGTGAGGGGCGCATATATATATGTATGTATTTACAACATGTTCGTTAAATGTGCTTTCCCATTCCACAAGTCTTTTCAGCCATAAAACAAACCAAACAAGACATAGTCTCATCTTTCAGCAAAGAAAGGTGATAAAACCCGGGAAAGCTTTGTTGGAAAAGATGCACATACATTTCACGCGCAAGCAACCCATTGCAATACCTACGAAGTCTGTCTTCCACTCCTCATTAGAAATATTACTAACGGAGTCACAGTTAATGTCCATCAAGGAACATAAAAATGTCTTACTTGAGATCCCATATTTTTCTCAATACTTTGCCCATGCTAACCCAGAGGACTCTACTGTGGTACCGAACATTGGATTGTTTTGTTTCCACATCATCAACTACTTCTCGGTTAAGTCCCCTAGCTCTGATAAGTTTGATCGCTGAGTAGATTGGATCAATAACATGTTTGATAGTCAATACAGCTTTGTGCAAACTTTCCCGTGTAGAGTTTATGGTTGGGATATTGTTCTTTACTTATCTTCTTATCTTATATAATACAGACGTTACTTCAAAAAAGAAGATGATTACGTCCTACGCGTCATGCATTCAGTCATGCATATTAACCAATGACTTAAATTCTGCCAAGTCACTGGTTTTTCTGTCTAGCTCAGGCAACCCATTCCATGCTCTAATAGCACTAGGGAAGAAGGAGTATTGGTGCAAATTTGTCCTAGCATATGGGATGAGGAATGTGCCTTTACTTTTGTGTCTTTCTGAGTATTTTATTAATGTATTTTATTTAAAAACCTGTTTTACTCAGTTAAAGCCAGAGCTCCATCAGTTGTTACACTTGCCATCTTGTTCCAAGCCTGCTCAAAACTTTCAACACAGTTTCATAGCATTGAATAAATACTGGCTGTGTCTTTGACTAAATGTTTCGAAATATTGCCAATAAGCAGAATCTTCATTTGCTTTAAACTTTTTTGAATGACAACGTTTCTTTAGCCTCTTCTTCATAAGTGATAAGATATTTGAAATTATTTAATTTTAATATATTTGTATTTTTCAATATGTTTTGTTGGGCACACCTGATTTCTGTGGGTGTCGCGGCCCGCATAAAACAGTCTGGCGGGCTGCATGTGGTCCGCGGGTCGTAATTTGCCCAGCCCTGGTCTAAGAGCATAAAATGTAACTTAGTGCACTAAATGTGTACTACACGTGCGCATTGTTTATAGTTGAACACGTTGCCCCTGTAATACTACGAGCAGGTGTGTGTGTGTGTTTGTTTTTGTTTTTAGAAGGGGGTGGGATTTCAAAAAAAAAAAAAGTTAAAGAAATTTGAAAGAAAGAAAGAAGAAGAACCCATAGATAGGAAAACTTTAACTCTTCAAGCCTGCACATCGCTAGCTTCAAGTTTACCTTGCGATTGTCTAAAAGCTGAGCCAAAGGCTCTTCGAGCTCTAGGTTTGGAAAAAAAAATGATTGAACAGGAAAAAAAAAAACAAAGCCTGTTTGAACAACCGTTCTGTCTGACAGAGATCCGAGTCAATGCCTATGTAAAGCATTGCTATTTCCGATATATCTGGCGCATGGGCTAGAATGCATGGCCTCTAATGGTCGTTTCCACACGAGCGCTACGTTGAGGCAGAATAGCGTGCTCGCGTAAAAAAAAATATATTGCGGGAACTAGAGCTAGCTATCAGTAGCAGCAAGGTAGACAACCTCGATCAATTATATTAGCAGTGCCTGCGCTAACAAGCTATGTACCCTACATACCACAGAGTTACCTGCGTCTAACACGCCTGCTCGTGGTACACTGGTACGCTAATGATATGATGCGAAAGAAGAAATGGAACTTTAGCCATCACTATCTGTGATGGGTGCGTTGCTTAGACGCTGTAGGTCACAAAATCCCTCACTTGATTTGATTAGCCATACCAGGAAGTCAAGGGACTAGATCTTTTGTCATTTATTTCATTAAATATGTTTAACTAGGAAAGTTCCATGGTTACACCAGTTATTTTCCTACCCAAGACCCTTTAATCGTCATCTTCAACTTATCTTGACTAGTTATCCGTTGTTATTCCTTTCATTGTCTATTGTTTGCTATGAGAATTCATCTGAAAGTTTGCATTAAAATGACTAGACAACTTTGCAGTCTAGATATCAATTTTGATAAATATTAAGAAATTATTGATATGATACATATACACAGATCATAAACATGGCCTGATTTAAGTGAGGACTAGCAGAGATTAGGAGGCCTAAAAAAAGGCCTCCACAAAAGATAAAAAAATTTCCGAATTTTGACAGGTCAGAAACATTTTTTTTTTCTAAAAATGTATTTCTCATGTTTACGGCTGGCAATTAAAAAAATGTCTTGATTACGAAGTGTACACTTATAGCATGCTCGGAATAAGAACAAGTCAATACAGCTCCGGATTTATGACAGTGCGTCTACCAAGAGCCTTACCCTCCAAAAACTAAAAAAAATATGCACTTTTTAAAGCATATTAAATATTTTATAAAAAATCTAAAATATAAAATGCTTTTAGATATAGATATTTTTGTTCATAAGTGTATCTTTATTAAGGCTTAGGAAAAATTATAGGGGCCTCTTCATGCTTAAATCCGGCACTATGATACTAAGTATCTTGTTTAACAAACATACTAACAGACTCAAAAGTCAACATTCAGCACATTACAAACTAAAATTTTAGATATTGCAGACAGTAATGTTACTGTAATAGTGAACATTTATACATGTCTAGACGATTAGAACAAAAAGCACAGAGTTATAGTTAAAGAAAGATTTAGCAAATGTTCATTATAGCAAACATAACCAAAGTAAGGAACATTCTTCCCACACGCTCTGATGACATTTCAATAACTCAAACTTTAATCCTGCCTGGTCTCGGGAAGGGAGCTCCATTTTGACTGGAGTGCCATCCAGGAACACTTCCTATAATTCCACTCACACATCGACTCTCCGTGGTGGTTTTACTCACCGTCAGGCATACTACCTGTCTTTACCTGTGCCTACTCTCTAGTACCCTCCCCATCTCTCTCTCTCTCTCTCTCTCTCTCTTTCTCTCTATTCCATTACAAAAAATTACAGAATATCCCTTGTGTACATGTTTCTACCCTAGTTCTTTATCTCGGAGCGCTCAGTGTCAGCGATGGATGTGTTGCCGCATGGCTGTGTATGTGTGTAAATGTGTACCTGTGATGTGCTTCCGCTAAGGACATCAGATCTGAAACATAAACACTATATTTAAAAAAGAGTTTCTGCCAAATCAAATAGAGTTATCGTAGATCTCGTACATCTGGGATTGTATTTATTTCCATTGCGATATCATGTGGAGTCTACTCACACTGAGCTTAATCCTGCCAGGCCTGCTCGTGAGCCATGTCCCTCCGATACAGGTAAGTATGTCATTCAAGTAGGGTGTTCGTTAGGTGTGAGTCTTGTATTTAAATATGAATGCCAACTATTTGAAAGGACGTAAGTGTTATGAGCTCATACAGTCAGGGTCGATAATCAAGTTCCTGTTTTGTATGTATTTTACATTATTTTTTAGATGTACTATATTCTAAACACAAGTATGTAAAAAAAAAAAAATCAAAGCCCCCCCTCTCTCTCTTTCTCCATTTGCTGTCTTATTTGTATGTGTATCAGAGCGAAACAAGTATTTGACACCCTCCGCTTAAATGGGCTGCGTTTATACAAAACTACATTTGTAAGACATTAAGAATGTATTTCACAAGCCCATAATTCTAACTTTCAACTCTTTCTCCCCTGATTTAAAAGTTGATCAAGTTTCTGAATGTCCGAACACCAACGGAATAAAACTCTCCTTTTTTTCCTCAATGTTCACTGTAACCAACAAACTCAAAATTGATTTCAAACGAAAAACTTGTGGCCCTATCTCACTCATACACTATTAGAGATTTTCATGCATGGCGGGCAATGTATACATAGATTTTTGGTGTGTCCATTTTTGAAGAAAGTGTTGGAGTTTTCTAAAAGAAATATGATCGTTTCTGTGCACTTTTAGCACCGCCGAATGTGTAACTGTCTACGTTTATAAGACAACATTTCACTATGAAATAAACATTTGACCATAGACATACTATTATATCTAGACTGGAAACCGGAAACTAATTCTTATCCGCGATTGATCGATTCACGTACCTATATATAGAGATTTGTGTGTACGTAACTCTTTTTCAAGCTGTAAGGGAAGTCGCACCAAATCTTGGAAAATCAATCTTTTCTGTCTTAGAAAAGTAATGATCTTTTTTTTTAGAATCTGCTATTAATCACAGAACTATATATTCACGCAAATATATGAAACAAAGCCATTTCCTATTAGTTTCCATTGAGATTCAAAAATCCTAGATCGAAATAATTCATGTCTATTGATTTTAATAATCTTATATACATTTAAATAGATTGATTACCTAGATCTTTCTAGATTATGTATCTAAAAATTATCTAGATCTACAAATTATGAGACGAGAGTACTCTTATTGTTTATGTTCATTACTAGATCTAGATGCATTAGACTTTCACTCTAGGACTTCAAACTTTTTAAAA